CACTAGCCATTAGGTAAACAAATCAAAACCACAATGAGGTATCACTTCCCATCACTCAGCTATCTACAGTCAAAAAGACAGGACTAGAATGTCAAAGGAAATGGAGAAAATGGAACCTTCCTCACACACTGCAGTGGGAATGCAAACTGGTACAGCTGACCGAGTACAGCATCTGGCCGTTCCTCGTGAGTCACCATACCCAGTAATTCCACTCCTACAGCCACTCACAGGAAATGAACACACAAGACCACACAAAACTTACACAAGAATGCCCACAGCAGCACTGCCCTAACAACTACAAATAAAAACATACAAATAACCAAGGATTGTCCAACAGGTAAATAAAATGGGGGATGCCTACACAATGGAATGCTAGTTACTCATAAAAAGGAGTGAAGTGCTAGTACATGCTGTCATATAAACGATTCTTTAAAATGTGCCAAACAGAAGTAGCAAGATACAACAGAACACGTATTATATGATTTTATTAGTGTGCTATATCTGGTAAGGCAAATCCATGGGTTAGTATTCAGCTGGGATTAGAGGTCAGGAAGGTCTGGGGCAAAACTGTATCGTTTGGACATGGCACACTCACAGCAGCTGTGGTTGCCCGCAGGCAAGCTGAACAACACAAAGCCAGTCAACACGCTAGCACAGGGGGGAAGAGGGCCATGGGCTCCCCCTCCTAACTGAGGAGCTATGATCACTCAGTGGCTTCTGGGTGTGGGAGAGCCAGTTTTCTTTAAGGGTATAGCTCAACCCCACTCCAGTAGATGGCCCCAAGCCTAGGAGTTACAGGCAGCACAAATTTGAGTCAGTGGGTTATTAAAAAGAAACACACTGTCAGTCACATTTGGTTCTAGAATAAAGTATCTCTTAGCCTCTTTAACTTAAAAAAAAGTTTTAAAGAGGATACAAAATTGAGGGGGTAATAAGGAGGTGAGTTGATCTGGGAGGTATTGGGGAACAGGTGATGAATATGATCAAAGTAAGTTGTAGTTTTTAAAAAAACTTCAAAGAATAAAAATAATTCTTTCTTTAAAAAAAGAAAGTCTGAATGTTTTCCTGAGTTTGGTACTTAACACTGTTATAGATAAATTCAAAAGCTATCAATAATTTTTCACATTTTTGGTAAGTACAAACTAAGTATATTAGAGCAAAAATGAATATCTTTAAAAGTAATACAGAAACTTCGTAATTCCTTATTGTTTAAAGAGTTTTTCAATTGCTTCAGTACATACTGCCATGAATAAATCAACTGAGAAGTATTTTTTCCTGTCAATATGGCTTGGCCAACTGAAAACAGCAGCACCACCTCTTTCTTCAAAAGCAGGCCAACATACACTAAAATTTTTACAAATAAAATGGGGACATGGTTGTCTTTTATGGAAAAATATCAATCGTGTAGATTGCTCAAAAAGACTGATATATAGCAGTTCATTCTCTACTTTTGCAAGCTTTCAAAATACACAAGAAACCCACTATTTAAATTTAAGGTCAGTCTGAGCTACAAAGACCTGTCTCTCGAGACCAGAAATGTGCTGGAATGATACCTCAGCCAGTGAGGTGTTTGCCACACAAGCAATAGCATCAAACATGAGCCACTGATTTCAACTCTCAGTACCCATTGAAAAAGCCCAAGTATGGTTACCCACAGTTATAAACCAGGATCAGGGAAACACAAATAGGATTACTGAGACTTGCTGACCAGCTACCCTGTCTAACCAGTTAAGCAAGGCCCAGGTCCCAGCAAAAGGCCCTGTCTCAAAAAATAAAGTGGCCAGCTCCTGAGGAATGGCAGCTGAGCTTGGCCTCTGGCTTCTACCTACATCAGTAGTTAAAAAAAAAAAAAAAGGGGGGGGGGGGACCTACTTAGCAACATTCATGAAATCCTCAGTATGTCGGAGAGGGAATTATTCTCTTTTACTAAGGGTAGCTCCAGCACTGGACTCAGCTATTTTTTCACTGTCTGAGTTTGCCTTCTCTTCGTGTAATAAGATAGCTGACCAAAAGCAACTTGGGGTGGGTGGATTTCAGCTTAAAGATTACAGTCTGTCATGAAGGAAAGTCACGATGGATTCAGCCTGGATGCAGGAACTGAAGCAGAGGGTACAAAGAAAGCTGCTTGCTGGCTTGCCTCTCCTGGCTGTCTCAGCTAGCTTTTCTGCACTACCAGGGACCACCTAAGGGTGGCACCATAAGCAGTGGGCTGGGCTCTCTCACATCTATCATCAATTAAGAAAATGTCCCATAGACTTGTCTACAGGCCAATGTGACAGAGGAATTTTCTCAGTTTAGATTCCCTCTTCCCAGATGACTAATCAAGCTGACAAAAAAAAAAAAAAAAAAAAAAAAAAAAAAAAAAACTAACCAGCACAGTACTAAGCAAGACTTAGCCAAAAATGCTTGTAAAAAAGTTACATCACCCAGAAAGAAAAAAAAATGCAAAAAGAATTACATGGACTTAAACAAGCCACTTGCAGTATTTTCAATTTTTCATTTTATTATTTTATGTGTATAGGTGTTTGTCTATGTACTATTTGCATGTCCGGTGCATGAGGAGACCAGAAGAGGGTGTCAGATCCCCCAGAACTGGTGATAAACCATCATGTGATTGCTGGGAATTGAACCTGGTTCATTTCCTCTAGAAGAGCAACTGGTGCTCTTGATCCTCGGAGCCATTTTTCCAGCCACAGCCATTTGTAATTTTTATGTCTACAGTTTCAAAAGTGATAATTCCACAGTATTGATATTGTACCATTAGTGAAGACTGTTATATTACCTAGCATATAACAGCATACACTGTGTGTACAAGCATGTATATGTGTGTGGGTATGCATGAATGTGTGTGGATGCCATAGGTTAATGTCAGATGTTTATTCAGACACTCTCTACCTTATTATTTATGTGTGCACATATGGGCAAACACGAAGACCAAAGGTTCACTGTCCACTGTTTTTGTTTTTTGGAGACAAGGTCTCTCACTGAATCTGCAGTTCTCTACTCAGCTAGCCTGGCTGGTCATCAAGTCCCTGGAATCTACCTGTCTCCGCCACAACCACCATCACCCTAGTAGTGTGGCTACAGATGTATACTGCGACATGTGTCTCCTCAAAATTCATATTGAAATCCTAGCTTCTGAGGTAACAGTAATAGGTAAACACTTGGGGAGGTAATTAAGAGCAAGATTCTTCATAAACGGGATTGATACCCTTATAAGAGAAGTTAAAGGACGACCTCTGTCCCTCCTCATGTGGGGGTATAGAAGGTGTCATCTAAAATCAGCAAGTAGGTCATCACTAAACACAGAATCAGCTAGCACCTTCATCTTGGACTTCCCCAACCGGAACCGTGAGAAATCAACCCCTGGTCTCTATACACTCCTCAGTTTAAGGTCTTTTGTTACAGAAGTCCAGCAGACTAACTCGGAGAATTTTACAAATGCAGCTCAAGGGAATGTGGAAAAGAGCAGGAACGGAGCATTTGCTGACGGCTTGCTATGCGGTTCTTTACAGAAACAATCCTTTTCTGCTGGTAACAATTTTATGAGGTGGATGGTATCCAAATGAGGGAAGCTGAAGGACAAGGTGCACTTGAGACTCTGGCCTTCAAAGCCACCACACCCCACTTTCTCCCACCAACGCCATGTCCCAAGTGCCATTTAAAAATGACTCTATTAAAGATAGATATCAGTGAACATTCTCAAGTCATTTCAGTGTACTTAAGTCAATCTGCAAGCATTTTGCAGAAAGTCATGGTTAACATAAAAAAAAAAATACCAATGCAAAGCACCAACATAGGCCAGGGTGGGTTAGTGCTGTGCTTTATCAACCTTAACTCTGGATTCTAACACATCACCAGAAGTGATCTGGGTAAGTCACAATCTCTTTGAGCCCCAGGTTCCCTATTTATAAATGTCCACATCACTTGTCTCCTTCTTCCCCCATACGATGCTGATGGGAAAAAAAAAAATCTGTAAACTGTAGTACATACATAAGGAATCATTATGTGTTCGGAAAGATAATTGTAGTGAATTGCTATTTCGTGAACAATAACTTGGCACACTTGAGAGATACAGTCGCCCACCAGCAGGAAGCAGCCCTGGGGCTGACAGGCCCCCTTCAGAGGGAGCCTCTTGACAGCAGCAGGTGCTGAATGGGGAGCAATTTTCTGGCTGCTTTCTAACAAGTTCAAAGCTCTCTGCAGTCAGCTGCTGACTCTAACCTGCTGCCTTGAGCAAACCTGAGCAGGGGGGGTGCTCACAAATTACTGGGGTGAGGACGCTGAGGCGGGAGGCTCGCAGGTGAGAGGCCTTCCTTTTGCACCTGAGGCCCCAACGTTCAACATGTGTAAAATGGGAAAGAAAAAAGAAAAAAGAAATGTCTCCCACCCCCTGCTCCCCTGAGAAAGCTAAGACCTGAAATCAAGTTTCATGGAGAGTGTGGCCAAGCCCTGGCGGAAAAGATGCTGGAGCGGTCAACTGCCAAATGCAGGCAGGCAGGCAGCTCCTGAGGACCCCGCGGCAGGGGCATGCCAGAAGCCGGCACTACCTGCTAGAGACCGCATCCTGGCCCGGGCTCGCTCCCGGCCCCGACGGGGCTCACGGTCCCAAGACCCTCACAGCCCAGTGGGGCTGAGGGCCGGCTGGACCCTCGCCACCCGAGCCGGGCCTCCTCGGTCAACCCCCACGGCTCCCCTCCCCGGCCCCACGCCCAGGTGCCTGAGGAGGTGGAAGGGCGCCCCGCCGCCATCTTGTCCCCTCAGCCCCGCAACACAGGCTGCCCGCGCCCCTCTGGGGCCCGTCCGGGGCGAGGAGACGCGCGCCCCTCGCGGACACTTACCCGGGCCGCCCTGCGCACTTCGGGGCGGCTCCCAATGTCCCGGCGGGAAAGGGGCGGGGTGGGGCGGGGCGGCCGCCGAGAACCGGGCGGGGCGGATGGCCTGCGCGCCACGTGACGCCAGCCCAAGCCTAGCCCCGCCCCCTAGGCTGGCCCCGGCGATTCGCGCAGGCGCATCCGGGCTCACGCCGTGGAAAAGTGAAGCGTTTCCTCTCAGCGCTTACTTTCCCCAAAGCTGTTCTTTTTCCTTGCGTTGATAGTCCTCGGCTTCTGGCCACACGGGCCCCTTTCTCAGATTCAGCCTTCCCCCCACTGCCTGTCTTATCACCAGAGTCCACATATGAAGGACCTAGCAGGTCCTCTTGATAAATCTGTGCGTGACTGTTTCACAAAAGCACCTGGAGCTTAGCCTGCATTCTAAGGCTTGCTTCAGACGTCGTGTGCCAGACTTGGATCCAAGGAGCCAAAGGAGTACAAAGACCTAACAGATATGTTGAAGCTATCCCGAAGACGCGGTAAGCACAAGATGAATATGTGTCGATATTTAAATCACAGTTCTAAACTAAATGGAAAAGAGATTGTGCACATCATAGTATCAAGGGAATATTCCTGGCTACTTTTCATCCAGCTGACGCTGAGCTTCTAACGTCCCTCACCCTTCTTACCCACAGCAGGTGGGAAACCAATGGGTGCTGAAGTCTACCTCACTTTCAGGAGTATAAGAGCTGTGGAAACAGGTGCATACTATATTAGTGGTTCCTTCTAGGTCCTCTCTCTTGGTTTCTTGGAAAACCCATTCGTTCACTTGTCTGACAACTAGTTATGAAGCACCTGCCATGTTAGATACACTACCTACTTAGAGTTAATAATGAACAAAATAGATCTTCCCCAGAAAAACATCCTGGGGGGGGGGGATGTTCTTGATATGGGAGGAAACACGAATAATAAAAACATCAAATGGGAACAGAAAGGTCATAGTACAACATAAATGATGGTCAGGGTGTTGTTTCTCTTATTAATCATCTTCTCTTATTCCCATGAGCAATTTACAAGATATCTCCACTACTTCAATTACTATTCAGGTCTGGACTTAGTGCACTTTGGTTTCTGCCCATTCTTTCCAAAGTCAGTAAGGATTTCCCTGCTGCAAATCCTGCTGACATTATCATTACAACCTGCAGTAGCTTAAAATTTTAATTTCCCCAAAGGCCCAGGTATTGAAAGCTTTGGTTCAGTGGTGGTGTTACCAGAGACCAAGGCCATAAACAAGTAGATCCCAACAAACCAGATGTGCAAATCTCCCCAAAACCAAATAGAAATGATGATTAGATCAGTGCCTTATTCACCCATCATCAGAGAGGCTTCCTCCTACAGCAGATGGGAACAAATACAGAGACCCACAGCCACACATTATGCAGAGAGAGACAGACTTTGGAACACACAGCTCTAAATGAAATGTCTCCATCAAATCATCCCCCTTAGAGCTCAGGGAATCCCAAGGAAGACAGGAGTGACAGAGACAGAGGGGACAGAAGAAACCAAGAGAACAAGACCCTCTAAAACCACTGAGCAAAACTCATATGAATTCAGAGACTGAAGCAGCAATCCCAGGGCCTTACACCAGTTGGCACCAGGTCCTCTGCATAATACTTTCAGCTTAGTATTTTTATGGGACTTCTGAAAGTATGAATGAATGGGACTCTGATTCTTGTGCTGTCTCTTGGGGCATTTTTATTTTTCTGTTGCTTTTTTTCCTTTATTAAGAGATTTCTTTTATTCATTTTACATACTAACCACAGATCCTTCTCTCTTCCCTCCTCCTGCTCCCCCCCAACCCAACCCCCACCCCCTCCTCCAAACAGGTAAGGCCCCCCATGGGGAGTCAGCAAAGCCTGGTACTTTCAGCTGCAGCAGGTCCAAGCCCTCTCCCCTGCATCAAGGCTGTGCAAGATGTCCCACCATAGGTAGTGGGCTCCAAAAAGCCAGCTTATGCACCAGAGATGGATCCTGATCCCACTGCCAGGGGGCCCCTCAAACAGACCAAGCTACACAACTGTCTCGCTTATGCAGAGGGTCTAGTCCAGTCCCATGGAGGCTCCACAACTGTTGGGCTAAAGTTCAGAATTCCCACTAGCTTGGTTCAGTTGTCTCTGTAGGTTTTCCTATCGTGATCTTAGCCCCCCCTTGCTCATAGAATCCCTCTTCCCTCTCTTCCATTGGACTCCTGGAGCTCAGCCTGGTGCTTGGCTATGGATCTCTGCATCTGCTTCCATCAGGTACTGGATGGAGGCTCTATGATGACTTTTCTGTTGCTTGGGATTGTCCAACTTTGATAGATGGTTTTGTTTTATCTTACTGTTTTTTACTTTGTTACATTTTGTTATGTCTTAGAAGCCTGTTCTTTTCTAATGAGAGATAGAAAGGGAGTGGATCTGGATGGAAGAGGAGGTGAGGAGAAACTGGGAGGAGGGGAAGGAAAGAAAAACGTATTCAGAGTCTATTGTGTGAGAAAAGAATCTATGTTTAATAAAAGGGAGAAAAATAGAAAAGATACTGATTAAAAAGCAGAGTGGGAAAGTCAGTCCGTGAAGCTACCTCAAGCATTCAAGCACAGCATCAGCCCTGTCTTCTAAGGCACTGTCACCGGCCTGATTGACCATTATTGCAAGACTGTCAAGTAGTGTCTCAGGGTGACTGTTGCTCTGATGTTGACTATGACCAAAAGCAACTCGGGGAGGAAAGGGTTCGTTCTGCTTACACTTCCGGGCAACAGTCCGTCACAGAGGGAAGCAAGGGAGGAACTCAAATGGTGCCGGAACCCGGGGCAGGAGCTGATGCAGAGCCTATGGAGGAGCGCTGCTTACTGGCTTGCTGTGTTCCTCATGGCTTGCTCGGCCTGCTTTCTTACAGAACCCAGGGCCACCAGCCCGAGTGTGGCACTGCCCAGGATAGGCTAAGCCCTCTCCCATCAATCACTAATTAAGAAGATGCCCCACAGGCTTGCCTGGCTACAGCCCTATGGAGGCACTTTCCCCCCATCTTCCCTTCTCTGAGATGACTGCAGCTTGTGTCAAGCTGACATACACTGGCCAGCACAGGTAGGCTTTGTCCATAGAAAGCTGTCTGGCCACTAGTTTTGATGCTTGTACGAGATGCTTATACATCAGACCAGTTTTTAGAATCCGAGGTGATTTGGGGAGAAATTACCCAGAGCAGAGGACATAGACACAAAATGGAGGTGGAGAGGCCCAGCTTTTATTCTGCACTCTGTAGCAAGCAGCGTCCTCCTGCAGCCTCAGAGAACGAGGCTGCTGGGAGCCTGCTTGGGGTCCACTGGAGTAGTCAGCCCACATGCAGGCAACGTTAGAGGGAGGAACGGCACAGATCCTTCTACACACATCCCTCCTGCTAGACCAGCCCTCCAGTGGGACTCGGGCACCTCTCCACCTGTCCTCTTGCTGACAAGCCCCACCCCAGCTGGTGACTGACAGGCTGAAGAACAGGCAAGTCAAAGAAGGTTCAGGCTACATCCTTGAAAAGCTGCCCAAGGACCAAAGTCGGTGGCTATCTCTACTTTCCCTCACTCCCGTGCCTCCTCCTCTGCCTCTCTGTTACATCTGTTCACTTCATGTATCTTTCGAAATATATGTAAATGGGCATTTTCTCTTCTTCACACTGTAGACACACCCTACTTGAGTATCCATTCTCAGTGGATCCCAAACTACAGTAGATGTAAGGGTTGATGTCAGGGACACTTGTTAGAAAACTTCACGCCTCATGTTGAACAATTACAATGCAGTGAATCTGGGGTAGAGTGCTAGAATTTAGGAACCTCGCCCCAATGTCTGCTGATTCAGAGAATCAAGGAGCCATATTTTAAAATATTTTTCCTCAAAGCTTTCTCCTATTATTAATATGTTTGGCTTTATTATATTATTCCTGTTTTCATTGCATTAATATTGGCAATTGAGCAGTAATTTTCTCAAAATCTGTGCTCACAGGCATGGATGTATATTTGTTTATAAAGCACTTGCTTTATGGTGTCAGAATCCATTTTATCTTAAAGGGACAAAAAACCATAGAGTGGTTATTGTATAATGAGCAGACACATATTGGCTCACAGTTTTAAAAAGCTGAAAGTCCAAGGTTAAGGGCTGAGCATCTGTTTCAGCCTCCTAAAGATGTAATAAGAAGAAATTCAGACTCTCAATGTCCCAATGAATTTTCCTCAAGTGAGTCTGTGTTGCTAACCACAAAGTTATTAGTGCAAAATCTGGAACTCTTATTTAAATCATTACCCAAGTAAGCAGGAACCCATATCTCAAGTCCTTGACAAAATGACCAATTGGTGAGCATCACAAGGGAATGGGCATTTGGGCTAGATTATTTTGTTGTCACTTACAAAAGCATTTTCTATAAGTGAACATAATATATATTCATACATAGAGATATCAGCATGTGTGTATTGTCTAGGACTACCTACTGGCCCAAACCCATGTCAGCCTGAGGGAGCTACAAGTCTGCCCCAGAGCCAGTGATCCTGCCTCCTGGCCAGGGATGCTTACACCCTCCAGGCTGGGCCTAAGTCACCTACCAGACTGTTGACCTGCATGGTATTGGGCCCACGGCCACAAAGCATGTCCTCCAGCTGCAAAGTCCCACTCTTTACATCTTAATCAGCTGAGACTTATTGGGTGAGCAGAGGAAGAGCCCTGGACAGGGTGGGGGTGACAGAGACAGACAAATCCTAAGGAAGGGGCTGTGGATACCCTCATTCCATCCCTAGGTCTACATTAGAGAACTGAGGCTCAGTGAGTAACTACTTGGAGACACACACTGACTTAGTAGTCGGTCCAGGGTAGGGACTGAGCATTCTGAGTCCCAGTCTTAGGCTCCAGCACCCTTTCCCATCTTCCTCTGCTCCCTTCCTCAGTCTGTTGTGCCCGTGTCTCGAGACCCCTGAGCAAGATCACCACAGAGCTGATATCTGATGCAAAACACACAGGGGCTTATTGATAACAAGCAAGCCCAGGCTTGGTCCCTGTCCAACACTCGACACAGTGGGTGGAGGAGGACGGCCCTGAGCTCTCAGGGTGAGGGGTTTTTAAAAGGAAAAACCGAAAGCAGGGTGGTACAAGCCTTGGCATCATATGATTGGGTGAGGGTATGTAACCTTTGAATTTACTGGTTGGGGGTTACAGTTATCATATGGGGGCAGGCCTGGACAAGTCCCAGGCTCTGTCCTTGAGCTGCCATGGAGGCTGGCTGGGCAAGCACATACTTACTGTGGGGGAATGACTCAGTGGCCCAGGCTCTGTCCTTGACCCATGCACGTAGCTCTAAGTTGGTGAGGGGTCCCAGACAGTAAACAACTGGCTGAACCTTGAGTGGTCAGAGTACGTGCAGAAAGGGAGCTACTGCAAGGACTATGTCTTTTGTTCATGGCCCTCCCAGAACTGCTTGCTCAAGTCTCAGGAAACTGAAATTGAGGCCTGATCTCTGAGAGAAGACTGAG